GTAGCAACAGGTTAGCGCAGAAAATCCATTGAAAATACTGGGGTAAAATAAACATGTTTTAAAGACAAGGCGGGGGGAAATAAAATTAATGCAGCGCTTCTTGTCCAGTCGGACACCCACTTCATATCGTATACATCAAACAGACAGTGAAGATCGCTGATTTTTAAAGTAAATCATCTCCTTAATTGTGACATTTTTGTAACAGAAAGACAGTTTACCGGAAGCCAATGGCCTGCCTGGCTGAAAATTAAAAGTCTGTGTGCATATAAGTAGGCCATTGAATTTTAACATAAGACATTTATTGGACACCAAATTGTTGAATGGTAGCAATAACATTTTAAAACAAAGCATCTTTTTTTCTAACACTTTGTCTTTAGAAAAACATGACAGACACCAACCCTCTGTTCGAACTCTCTCTGTCGTAACTGTATGTCTTTCTGGTAACTGTCCAGACTTCTTCTCTTCATCATCTCTTTCTCTCTTGACAGCCTCTGCCTCTCCTGTTGCTCCTCCAACTAAAAAAAGTAGTGTTCACACATCAATAAATTTCATATAGAAGTCTTCAACTCATGATAAATACATAAAATCATGTTATTTAGATGTGAGAAACAGCAACATATTCAGGTTTGTTCCTCACCCTCTGTTTTCGTAGTTCAGCTTGTCTCTGACTATGTTCTTTGAAGCTGCGCACATTAGGTACTCCAGGATCCTTCTTCCCTCCATGAGACTGAGTTCCATCTTTAGGCTTCAGGGAAGAGAAACAGATGACAATCAGCATGAATTTATTTATTCTAGTGTCGTACAACGAAATATGTTTGGTAGCTCTTAGATAAAAACTGCTATAAGAAATAAAGAACAAACAAAAACTAAGGTGTGAACAATAAACAAAACACTAAACAAAATGTCAGTCAAACATTGGGACACTGAATGAACACATGATGGGGTGGGGAAAAAAATAGTCAATAGTTTTGTTTGTAATCACAGCTCTGCCAATCACTGCACATATAGTAATAGCTTCTTTAACGGGGCGGGACATGTCAGATAGTAGAGAGCTGTTTATTGGTCAGATTTCATTAGAAACTAAAGTATGAGGTGACTTTAAAAAAAAAATTATTGATCCATTTAGGTGAATGTGACAAACTGCAAGCTTTGGGTGTTTATTTCTTCTTAATGCAAATGTTGTCACTGTTTTGGAGCACTAGTTTAGACGACCTTGAAACAAAAATCTAAAAAAAGTATTTATTTTCTTCTTAAGGCTGATTTATACTTCTGCGTTAAGCGCATGTGTATGCTCCGGCACAGCCTTAGCAAATTTGAGCCAAACAAAACACTCATGAAGAAACTCAACACAGAGAAACAAACACCTACACCATATAAATAATATATATATTTATTTATTTATTTTATTTTTTATTTTTTTTTAATGACCAAATTCTGACTTAAGATGTGAATGTGCTGGCCAGTTTGTTATTTGGTTAAAAAAAAATGACAATAGGCTACAGTTTTTATTTAAAACAGATTTCTATTTTTTTCTAAGAATATTTAATGCAATAATCTTAATTAAATACATATATAAAATATATATTATATATTAATATATATTAAAATGATAAATTATATATATATGATACAATGTGTGTGTGTGTATATACATATATATATATATATACATATATATGTATGTATGTGTGTGTGTGTGTGTGTGTGTGTGTATATATATATATATATATATATATATATATATATATATATATATATATATATATATATATATATATATATATATATATATCACATGAATAAATCTTTTTATATATATTTCTTGATTCTATTCCTTTAGAAAATATTTTTGCAACATTAAAAAGTGTGGTTATGATGACCACCCGACAAGCTAATAAAGTAAAAAATAGTGCTTAAAGGTCACTAAAATGCAGTATTTATATCTCATAATTAAATTAGAAAATAAGGCGTAACGTTATAACTGCAAAAATGTCAACTTTTTAAGGAAAAAAAATATATCAGGCATTGCTGCATTAACAACAACATATGAAAATGCCCTAACATTTGACTGGTACAGTTTCTAGTTCTATAACTTTTCTACAGTACAATATTTTCAATACAAATAGGCGCAACGTTGATGCGTCAGTAAGTTAGCATGAAGGCTATGTCACGCACCTTTTTGCCACAAAATCCCAGGCGTTTCGCTCGCTTTTGCTCTGTAACATAGTGAACGTATATTAATAAGTAAAATCACTTGTGTCAACAGATCTTTTTAACGCTCGCTTTAAATAGAAAGTGTGAGAGATAAGTTACTCACTTGCTTTGGACATGACTGCACGTGTGAATGCTTTAAAGTGCTAGTGTGTGTGAAGACTTCGACAACGACGGGCTTTCAAAATAAAAGTCGACAGTATTGGACGGTTGAAACCAGCACGGTGAGTTCCATAGACTGTAGGTTAAAAGTAAATCTTGTCAAATGTAAATCATGAATTTCGATATTACATCGTCAATACAAGACTTAACCCGTACACGTTTTCATCTGAATCTCAATCTGAATTCCTGATCTAAATAATAGTTGTTTTTTTAACTAAACTAAAACTATATTGTATGGCCAGCAAGTTATCATATTTATCACACTTTCAAGCGTTTTGCACTATATATTTTTTTTTACATTATACTGTACTTTTTACACTATATACCGTTTTGCACCTGCACAACTCTGGTTTGCACTCCTTGCCATGTGCCCTCAAGTATTTTTATTTTTACTTATTGTTTTAGATTATATATGTAATTGTATTTATTGTAATTTTATTTTAAAATCCCACTTTTTGTATTAATTTTATTATTACTCTTATGCACCGAGGCTGTGCATGTAGTTGAATTGATAATAAAGCTGACTTTAAATTTGAGTGATAGTTTAATTAAAAACAGTTACGTAAAATACTGTATGGTTTTCCAACCATGTTATCACTGCATTTGCAGTCTTTTTTTTTTTTTGGTTGGTTAAAGTACTTTGAAATTTGAAAAATCCACTAAAAACTATACAGGTCCTAGGGCTGCACAATATTGGAAAAAATATACATTGCGATATTTAGATTTTCTGCTATTTATATTACGATATTTCACAGGATAACAAAATAATTTTAGATTGATTGGGATGATTTTGTAGGGGAGTGCATCTGCATAAACTGTAATACACAGATTACAAGCAGAGATCAAGAAGTAAAAAATAAAAAAATAATGTGCTCTATGTTCTTCATTGTGTAAATAATTAAATACAATTCATCTTTGTTAAAGCTACAAACGTGATAAATTAATGTGCGTAAACATTTTAAACTCGCTTGAAATGCTTTAAAAATAATCACTTTATTATGGTTAAACTGAAAAGAATCCAAAATTCTCATGTTTTCTGAACTGTTGTACCTGGTCTACTATAATCCTGACTTCACATGCTTCCTGCGATGTGACGATTGCATATTCACACATTGCGACATTGATGCAAAAATGATATATTGTGCAGCCCTAATAGGTCCCATGAAATTAAAGTTGTTGTTTTTTAGATGTTAGTATTATTCATTTTTAGGATATCTATAAGCTAGTGTGCCCTAAAACAGTGATAAAATTCCCATTTAGAAGATATAAAATTGATAAAAGCATGTTAAGCTTGTTTCCCAGAGATGGGTTCCGGCTTGAAGTGCATCCGCTGAGTAAAATCTTGCTGGATAAGTTGGCGGTTCATTCTGCTGTGGCGACCAAGTATTAATAAAAGGACTAAGCCGACAAGAAAATAAATAAATGAATGTTAAGCTTGTATTTTGTCACTTTCACCCAAATGAAATTACGTCAAACATCGAATAAAAGTGCATATTTCAAAGCTCTATATGGGACCTTTAAAATGTTTTTAAAATACATTGTTTGAAATCTATAGGAATATATCTGAAAATCACCAGTGTTATTGGAATAAGTAGAATGGAAAACCAACAAATAACTAAAAGGTTTTTAGACTAATCCTTTCAGATGAAAAATCTTGCAATGTTTCTCAAACTAAAGTGTAGATATGTTAGAAATTGGTTAAATACATTTCACCAAAGCTTTTTTGAGTATTTTTAATGCTGCTTCATGCAAGGGCACAAAATAACTCAAACAAGAAATGTTTTTAAATAGTTTTATCTCTTAAATAAAGTGTAAAAAATACATTCTGCTATGAAGTGACTTGCCCTGATAAACCTCAAGCAAATGTACACGGACACATGCAACGTAGAACACTCAACACATGTGCCCTCATATACACAAATACACACAGCAGTGTTTTAACCTAATGAGTTCCACCATATAAGCTTCCTAGCAAAAGTCAAGACTTTACAGGCCAGCCTAGGTGAAATCCTCTATCCGCTTGATGTGGAATAGAGCTTATATGAGATTACTCGATGTTACCTGGCTTCATGTGCTCTGAAAAAAAAGTCCCTGTAACCTGCATTCTTGGAAATTCTCTTAGATTTGCATATGCTTGGCATACATATGAAGTCATCGGTTTTGTTTATCCTTTCCTGAAGTTATCAGTTCCTGAATACCCAGCAAGCATTTTTTGTTTTTAAAGATGTCTAATAGACGTCTAAACATGGTTGTCTTGGCTAAAGCAAGGCCAAATTTGGGCTGTCAGTGAAAATCTAATAGATGTATAGGCCAAGGCTAGACTAGTAATCAAATAAACAGAAACGAATGACTACACATATAAATTCTGTCTAATCAGTCTATTTGACAGATTTGATTTGGGCTATTCTTAGATGTTTATTAGATTTTCACTGAAAGCCCAAGTTTAGCCTTGTTTTAGCCAAGCTGTCTGTGTTAAGCTGTCTGTTAGTCATCTATTAAAGACAACATTGTTTGCTGGGTATTATTACTCAAAGTATATTTGCCCATCAACTTTACATGGATTCAGATGTGAAATAATGAAGACAAATAAAATATTGTAGCATGCAATGAATGAAGAGTACAACATATCATTTTGCTGCATGATTTATTTTCTTCAGAAAACATTGAAATAACATAAAAATTTATTTTTTTCTCCTTTTTACATTTGCATTTGGATCTAAAAAACATAGCTCTGTGACAACAACAATACGTGTCATAATTGTTTTCACATTATTCATCGAACCAGTCTTTCTTACATTCTTCAGCATGAGAGAACTTTCATAAAAGATTTGAATAACAGCATTGCATCGCAAAATAAATCCACTCAGGACTTACTATATGGTGTTCAGTTTGAGTCCAGCATTGCCATAAAACAGTTTCCTTCAGAGGAGTTTTGCCTACATATGTACAGTCAAGACTATTGCATCTTGGAGTCTGAAAGTCCAGTTCTTCCCTCTTGTTCAACAGGAGCTATAAATCACGTAAGACTTATGCAGGAGCCACAGAAGACACTTCTGTTTTGGATGTGGACACCTCAGAGCCATCATCCACCTTCTTTCCAAAGAGCTGCATGATGCATACGCGGAACTGCGGAAAAAGAGAAATCCAGATTATTCATGCAGAAAGTGGTGGACAAATTTTGAGCTCTGTTAAACAGTACTGACATACCTGTCGGTTCATGAAGACATAAATGATGGGGTTGTAGATGGTGGCGCTCTTGGCAAAGTAGGCAGGCATGGCTGCTGCCAGTGGGTGGAAGGCATAGCCTGGGTTTGCAGCAGCAAAGCAGGCAAAGGCCGTGTACGGACCCCAACAAAGGCAGAAAGCAAGGATCATGACAACCACCATTCTGGACACTTCCTTCTCGGCCTTCTGTGTGGACTCAGAATCCTTCTGCTGCTGGGCAACCTGTTGAAGATGATTGAAAACACACTCAGTTCTCCATAGCAGAACATTTTTCTTTAAAAAGTTTCCTCTCAAAAGGTTAACATACAGCATGGATGGCCAGGAACACAGCAATGTAGCAGAGAATGATGATAGCAAGAGGAAGGATGCAACAGGTGATCATTAGGACCAGCATGTAGGACTGGACTCCGGGGTCCTCGTTTCCTCCAAACACATCAGGTCCACAGGAGGTCTTCAGACCATGAGGCCAATACCTATAGAGCAGGGATAACAGCTCTCACATACATGTATGACATTATCAAATCATTTAGAGTGCAAAACTGGACTATTTCATTCCTTACCTGCTCCAGCCAAAGATGGGAGGTGCACACCAAACAGCAGCCCAAACCCAGGAGAAGATAATGCCAGCAGATGCCCATTTACCATCAAACTTGACATTTCCAAATGGTTTACAGACAACCACCCATCTTTCCCAAGAGATGACAGTCAACGACCACAGTCCAGCAATACCTGTGTTGGTAAATATCATTAAAAACCTCCTAAATCTTCAGTCCAGCACACTATTCAGTTTGCTTTCTGTGTGTAGTAACTTACCACATACTGACACAGTGTAGCCTTCAAAAATACACATGGGATGTCCGAGTATAAAGTAGCCGAAAACCTGATTGATGACGCTGATTGTGCTGGCAAACAGAGTCTCTCCCAGATCAGCTATAGCAAGGTTGACCAAGATCCAGTTGAGAGGGTGACGGAGCTTCTTGAATTTGGCCGTGGCCACCAGTACCAGGCCATTGGTGAAGGTTGAGGCGACAACCACAAAGAACATCCAGACTGTTGCAACATTGTACACCCATCGAGGGGCAATGTGGTAATTGGGACCCTCAAAGGGATCTGTGAAAAGAGATCATTATTAAAAACTTTTACAATTCTAATCAATCATAAAGCACATGATTTATCCAGCTGTTCCTGAAGATTAAGTTAGTATTTTACCCCTTGTGTTATTGCTGTTGGTATATGAGAAAGCGTTGTCCCTTGTTGTTTCGTCCCCTCGCCGTCTCGCGGCAAATGCCGCATTGGCCCACTCTGCCATTTTGGAAACCCTGAAGATCAAGCAAATAGAAGAATTATTTCCATTTGCCTATTTTTGTGTGACCAAAGATGGTCAAATTTACAATGATTGTACCTGTCACAGTGTTCTTCTCTCGCTGAGTTGGTGGCAGGTCTGTCCTTTGCCCCTTACTTCTCCGATTGTGGTTGAAATCGCAACCAACGTTCTGGCAGACGGTGTCAGAGGCATTTTATACCAGCTCATTGCCAGAAAGATTATCCCTCTAACTTTCGGACGGAAGCGAATTAAGGTTAGATGGGAGGCACAGATGTCTCACATAACAGGAAGTGCCCCCAAATCTGCATAGAAGGTATGGGCCCTAAAGCCGTCTGTGATGTCACACATATTGGATGGAAGCAGAGGTCCTTGCACGCATTTGCACCCGAGCACACGGGGGCACAGAGACGCACAGAATCAAAAAGGTAAGAACTCAATTTGAGGTTAATCTTCCTTGGTTAAGAAGTGCTTTCAGTGTCACGTTCCCGTGGAAATTGCTTAGCCCCCCTCAGGCTTAAACAGAGAAATTACAATTGACTTGTTCCATTTGTTTGCAGACTCCTAAGTGACTTTAAAGCTGTAAATCCTGTCAAGGACAATGAAACATATTGAGTCGAAAGTTATTTTGCTTTAAACAGATTGAGTTTAGGTGTCTGAAGGACTTCAGTGCAGTTTGTGAAATCTGGAAAAAGTGGTTGAAAGTGAAACTGGGTAAAGATAAATAAAAATAATTCTAAATAAAATATTGAACCTTTTGAACTTTTAAAAGTTTGAAACATGAAAGTAAATTATTGCAGAATAATCATCTGTGAAAGGTACATGGGGAAAATGTCTTTATTTTACTGGTACTCCTTCAGCTGATGTATTAGAAATAAGGTCTTGATTATTTGTTTACCTATTATAATTCATTCCCAAGGAAATGCAATAAATCTACATTAAAGTCTTCCCGTGGTTTAGTAAGCAGTATATGGTGGCAAGGTCAGGTGTTCAATCCTGAGAGAAAGCAAGAGCTTGAGTACCTTGAATGGAATGTAATGACTTTAAATAAAAGGGTCTGCTAAATCTAAATAAAAATATAGATATGTATATACACATTTGTTTCCAACATTTCTTATTGCAGAAATGCCTCTTTGAAAACTGTCAATTTCTTTAATAACTCTTATCAAATGAGTCCCACAATGTAATATATTCAGTGAGATGTGCATGCATAATGAAAGAGACCCAGAAAAATATTTATTTTGCTGCTTTTTTATTTTCATCAAAGAAAAAATAGAACCATATTACATGCTGTACATGGGCAGGCATCTACCTATCACTCTTTTTTTTGTGATTTTTGTTTTCTTGCAAGATATCTACAAAATGATTAGTATTACATTGCCACTAAACATCAGTCCAGCAGAAATTGCACATTAGAATGAGGTGGTAATTTTTCACTGTTAGTAAATCCACACGGATTGTCACATTCCCTCAAGCAGTGCTATATACTGGTGCAAAACCTTCTGAATAGCCAGCTGATAAGAATATCACAGACAAATGAGTGTTACAAATGATTACCATAAAAACTGTAACATCATTCCTGTGGATCTTAAGTCACAGGGGCATTGAAAAAGTGATGTTGCCATGCAACAAGGTATTCCCCATCACTCCAAGGGAAATATCTGGAAGCAGAGTTGTCGAGATGCAGTGTGGGTGAACAAGGAATATAAAAAGTCTCATTTTCATCTTTTTCCCCATGTCTGACTCAGATCTGGTGCACAACTTATGCAGGAGCCACAGAAGACACTTCTGTTTTGGATGTGGACACCTCAGAGCCATCATCCACCTTCTTTCCAAAGAGCTGCATGATGCATACGCGGAACTGCGGAAAAAGAGAAATCCAGATTACTCATGCAGACAGTGGTGGACAAGGTCTGAGCTCTGTTAAACAGTACTGACATACCTGTCGGTTCATGAAGACATAAATGACGGGGTTGTAGATGGTGGCGCTCTTGGCAAAGTAGGCAGGCATGGCTGCTGCCAGTGGGTGGAAGGCATAGCCTGGGTTTGCAGCTGCAAAGCAGGCGAAGAACGTGTAAGGACCCCAGCAGAAACAGTAGGCGAAGATCATGACAACCACCATTCTGGACACTTCCTTCTCGGCCTTCTGTGTGGACTCAGAATCCTTCTGCTGCTGGGCGACCTGTTGGAGACACAAACACACTCAGTTCTCCATAGCAGAACATTTTTAAAAAAAGTTTCCTCTCAAAAGGTTAACTTACAGCATGGATGGCCAGGTACACAGCAATGTAGCAGAGAATGATAATAGCTAGAGGGATGATACAGCAGGTGATCATGAGCACCACCATGTAGGACTGAACTCCAGGGTCCTCGCTTCCACTGAAGACATCAGGGCCACAGGAGGTCTTCAGACCATGAGGCCAGTATCTGTAATAACATTTAAGATTCTCTGAAACTTGGTCTCACAAGCCAAAGTGTTGTTTCCTATGGATACAAATGTCTTTTTTTCTGTCAACTTTTACATTTTGATGTTCAAATAAGTGATTTTACCTGCTCCAGCCAAAGATGGGAGGTGCACACCAAGCAGCAGCCCAAACCCAGGAGAAGATAATGCCAGCAGATGCCCATTTAGCATCAAACTTGACATTTCCAAATGGTTTACAGACAACCACCCATCTTTCCCAAGAGATGACAGTCAACGACCACAGTGCAGCAATACCTGTAATGTTAGATATCATAAAAATCCTGACACAAATAAAGATAATGAACAGTGGTGTAATGTATAAATGTGCTTTTTATTTATTTGTAAAATCAGATGTTTGATTAGTAACTTACCACATACTGACACAGTGTAGCCTTCAAAAATACACATGGGATGTCCTAGGATAAAGTAGCCGAAAAATTGGTTAATGACACTGATTGTGCTGGCAAACAGAGTCTCTCCCAGATCAGCTATAGCAAGGTTGACCAGGATCCAGTTGAGAGGGTGACGGAGCTTCTTGAATTTGGCCGTGGCCACCAGTACCAGGCCATTGGTGAAGGTTGAGGCGACAACCACAAAGAACATCCAGACTGTTGCAACATTGTACACCCATCGAGGGGCAATGTGGTAATTGGGACCCTCAAAGGGATCTAGAAATACAGAGAAATATCACTATTTTGATGGGTTCTCACCCAAAACCCATTTGAATGCATTTCACAATCTTTTGATGCTCTAGTCTAGGACATTGCTTTCTGCTCTGCATGATATTTCTGCCAAACTGTACATAAAGGTGAGAAGACCAAACATTTGAATCCGAAACTTGAAAATATTTAAACAGTTTAAATCAATCAGATACTTTCATGTGGTTAGCAAAATCATATTCATCAATGCCTATTAAAATCTAATCAAATTACAAATATTTGTATAAAAAAAGTTGAAAGACTCACCCTTGGTGTTATTACTGTTGGTATATGTGAACATTGCTTCCCTTGTGGTTTCATCTCCCTTTCGCCGGGCTGCATAAATTGCATCTCCCCAATGCTCTGCCATTTTTGGGGTTTGTTGTATAGCAAAATCTGTAGTCACTTAGCTGTTGTAAAAGTCTGGGGTTTTGCTCTTATATTATCTGCTGTCACTGGCCGACTGGCACTGACACTGGCATTGGGCTCTTGACAATGTGCTTTTATAGTCTATAAAATAGGGTGCCCTCGCTCAGGGTGAAGAATTGTTGAGGTCATAACAGGTATTGGAAGCAGAACAAAGATTCATTCATTAGGCTTAATGAAGGCCTAAGCCACTGTTCTATCATTGGATTGTTGAAGCCATCACAGGTAAACCTAAACAATACATGATTGAATTTGGCAATCAAACCAGCAGTGCTTAAGGTAAAGGGCCTGATGATACTTTGAGCAGGTTGGTGGCTCATGTCACTGACCTCTTTGTGTCACTATTAACTAAAGCATTTACAGCACACCGTCTACCATTGCAGATGCTAGAAACAATCGTAGGAATCAATGAAACCATCGTCATTTGGTACAGCAGCAGATTATGACACTGGTTTCTTTTTGGTGCTCAGCAGAATTTTTTAGGGTTTCAAAAAAGGAACTGTATGTCAGGAATGTAGTTTAGGGTTTAAAGGTAAATAATTTTAGGATTTAAGACTCAGAATCTCTCTGTATAATGGCACTTGCTGCTTACTGTAAGAGTAAATAACTTTTTACACAGTTGTAAACTAATATTTTCAATTTAATTTGCACATTTACACACTTCCAAATATACTTTACATATTAGCATAGAAGTTATGTTTAGCATGCAATGAGAAATCCATTAAAAAAATGTATAGGCTTTAAACCTTTATAGACTATATTTATGTCATTGTACAACCATACAGTTTGGGCCTTACAGGACATAATCATTCATACACTGTTGTGCCCAGTTAAAACAAGAGCGCTGCAGTTTCAATCATGTCCGGTATCTGTAGGGTTACTGTAAGTCAGACATTTAGGTTACAGTCCAAGTCCAAATCAGCTTATTGGGACAACTGGGGTACCCAGGTACCCTCCACACCAGATCCTAATTAGTATTGACAAGGATGCAGCCCAAACCTTCCTAATCCCAATGGATTGATGGTTCAGTTTAGGGAAAGCAGGGTTTATCTGAAAATCTTGATGAGGTCAGTTTTAATCTCCCCGGTTTCTGACGATAGGCGTTTTCTTTTCTTGTTTTTTTTTGTTTGTGAGTCATCTGCTTCTCAATCTATTGTGGCAAAGTGGAGCAGGAGGAAGTGAACAGACCAAACCAGGACGGGGATGGAGCCAACGCCAAGACAAAAGCAGTCTGTAAACTTTTTTTTCCTATTCCTTTTTAAAAATGTCAAATAATTGTAATGATATGTATGTATACTTGTACGGTGTCATCTTTTAATACTTCCTTTAAAGGGGAAGCTAATTCAAATAAACTATTTTTGATTGTTGGAAATAAGCTTTCTTGGGATTGACTGTTTTGTTTTATTACCGCTATCAAAATGTCAATCCCAGTTACAGTGAGATGTAGTCGGAAAGGATGTTTTCCAGAAACAGATGGATGAGAAAGTGTCAACACTCAGTCAGTCGTATGCCTGGAATTCCGCTAGTTCTGAACTATTCGTGATTGGCAAAAGTTCACTACTAGCAGAACTCGGATATACAACTGAATTCTCAACGACAGCTCAACATAGTAGCACGGTTTAGTCTCGCATGACCTGCCAATGGACAAGCGCTATTATCACGGTATTTAGCACTGAATGTTTATTGAACTTTTATATACTTTGAGTGGAATTATTCCATAAAAGAGATGTCAATCTAACATGGGCAAACCTTTGCTTTCACTGCTCATTGTTTCGTTGACATCGTTTGTGGTTTAATTTCTATCGAGTTGATCTTGATTTGACTGTGTTAGGATGGCAAAAGCTAACATCACATTCTCTCTCTGCCCTTTTGTTCTTGTTTTGGAAGTGAACAACCCACTGAATAAAATACATGAACAAGGTGAGTAAGAATGCATGTCAGTTCAGTGATGTGAGCGAAGACATTCAAAGCAATTTTCCCTATTATTAATTAATTAACACATTTTTCATGCAACCAATAATATATGTGTATGTGTTTGTGTGTGTAAATGTTGCTTTCTATTCAGACTATCCCTTATTAAGACTTATTCGTGCAACAAATAATGCATGTTTTCTTTTCAGACTGGATATGCTACTCAAAACTAAAGAATAATGGTCTTCATCGTGATTTGAAATACTTTCATGTTGTACTTGTTGTCATTTGTAACAGGAAATAATAATTCATATATTCAATACAAACTATTGTACTGTGTGAGGCAACTCTGAATAATGTAACAACATGATTCTTTCTTTCTTTGCATTTATTGTACATTTTAATATGATAATAATGATCTACTAACTCTACATGTTCAGCAAGCCAAGACCAAGTTACAAAAATGTTGACATTAAAAGCAAAAATTCCTATTGGGTCTACGTTTTTTTATTTACAGATGTTGTAAAATCATTTTGTCACTGCTAGAGTGGTTCGTCCGCAGGATGAGGTTACATGAGAACTGTGTTTATTTCTCTGGCGCAACAGAGGAGACCTGGGTGACCTGAGATGAAGAAGAAGCCTCATCTTCCTCAATATTCTTGTTGAAGACCATCTTCATCATACAGGAGCGGAACTGTTGTTTAAAAAAAAAAGTTGTAGGTAGATGTTATGATTATCCATGCTTAATAAACATGCTATTTGATTCAGCTCAACATACAGCTGCCACAAATGATACTATACCTGTTTGTTCATTAAGACATATATGACGGGATTGTACACTGTAGAGGCTTTACAAAGGCAGGAGGGAATGGTTGCCAGTCTCAGGTCAAAAGGTGCACCGCGGTTGGAAACCACCCAGATTGCAAAGATAGCATATGGTCCCCAGCATATCAAGAAGCCGAACACCATTACCACCACCATCTTTGTCACCTCCCTCTCAGCCTTCTGGGTTGAGGCTGAATCAGCTTGAGCTTTGGCTGCCTGGTAGGACAAACAAGGGATTTTAGAGCAACTGGCAACGTGACTACTCAAAGCCATGTATTTAGTCTCCCTCTAGTGGAAAAAGAGTGTTTTGCATTACATTAAAGAGAGCAACGTAATAAATAAATAAATATTAATTTGCGTTTTATCGGTTGTTCTAGGGTTCAGTAGTAAAATAACTAAATGTTTGTGTAATCTTTACTCTAATGCCATTTTATTTTCAGCATAATAAGCTAAATACAGCAATATGTTTTTGAATATTATCTTGTTGCATAACTAAACTTAATCTTTGACTTGTATATTAAAATATGTTTAGTAACACTTTACAATAAGCTTACATTAGTTAATGTTAGTGCATTTACTAAACATGAAATGAGTAGGAATAATGCTAGTACAGCATTTATTAATCATAGTTTAGCATTTACAAATACAATATTAAAATTCAAATGAATGTTTAACATTAGTTAATTTAATGAGTTAACCTAAACTAGCAACAAACACCTTTTTTGTACTATCATTTAACATTAACAAAGATGAATAAATACTGTAGGCTAATAAATGTATTGCTTGTTGTTTGTTCATGTTAGAGAATACATTGACTCACATTAACTGATACGACCTTATTGTAATGTGTAAAATGTATAGTTCCATATATTAAGGTTGTTTAAGAATAATTGCAGTTTGGAAAATAAAAATTTCGAAGTGAAAATTGTACTTACTAATTTGAGAGTGATGAGCAGCTGACCATAACAGAATACAATGGTGCTGAAAGGAACCGCAAAGCAAAAGCAGAAGAGGAACATGACGTAGGATTCATTGTTGAATTTGTTGTTAGTCGTATACCAGTCAGGTCCACAAGAGCACTGCAAGCCCTCAGGTATATACCTGTAAAACAGATTTCAGTCATCACCATTTAGCAAAACAAAAAGCTGTTGCATTGTCAGTGTATTACAGGCAGTGGCAACACATTAAGTTGAAGTTCCACTTTAGACATTCTGTTGAATATAACAACCATTAGTGTCTGCTTTAAATCTGCAAACAATTGATTCTGATCGTCTGCCAACAGACATTTTAGTGACTATGAGGAACACGGTCACATGGACACTTGCTGTGTAATACTAGTTGCAAAGTCAACAGAAGGCCTGAAGGGACCATCAAAGTAAAATGTAACCAAGGGACTTACCGGCTCCAGCCTAAGAGTGGAGGGAGTCCAGCAGCCAATGCCATACACCAAGGAAGTATGCAGCCGGCAATGGCATGAGGGGTCTTGAAGGTAAAGTTCCCGAGGGGTTTGCAAATGACCAGCCACCTTTCCAGCGCCACCACAGCAAGAGACCACAAACTCACCATTCCTGCAAAAACACAGAAAGAAGATTGTTGAAACCATCACAGTCCAGTAGCAGAATGTAAGATCTACATGTGGCTAGCATTAAAACAATGTGGACGCATGTTACAATGTACCTCCAATTGTTGAAGTGAAGCCCTCGATTTTGCATCCTATCGGCCCAAAGACAAAGTACTTTTTGTAAAAGGCGTAGAACGCTACCGAGGAACCGAAAACGGACACCCACAAGTTGGAAATGGCAAGGTTCACAAGAATATAGTTCAGGTGAGATCTGAGTTTCTTGTATTGAATTGTGCAAACTATGGTAAGAACGTTGATGGCAGTTCCTGCGATAAAAAGGAAGAGCATAAAAGCGGACATGCCCATGAATACGCCACTGTGTCCCAGGTGGTCCTGTGGGACCAGGAAAGGGCTGTAAGCTGAGATGTTGCTGACGTCTAAAGTGATGGGCATGTGGAAGTCTTCGAACAGTTCTGGCGTTTGCTGTTGTTGCTTCATCTTGCTTGTAATTGGTGCCCACTCCACTGAGAAATGCTGTAATAAATGGTTTGATTTCTTCTGCAGATTACTGCAGCATTCCTTGATTGATGTCAAATCTCTCTTCACTGGTCACCAGATGAAGACTCCCTCAAATTATTGGCATGCAATCCCTCTTATATAGAGATCCAAAAGATATCATTTTGCTCCTCCCAAATGGTCTTAAGTGTAGGATTTGAGGTTTGTTGTCATCAGCTACACACAAAGTTTCCTGAGCACACACACACACACACACACACACACATGCTACAAAACTACATCTGCGCAGTACAAGACACAATTCACCTAATCTCATTTCCAACACCAAAACCTGACTAATTCGGATGATCCCTTTCACCCTTCAGTGTGGTTCTGTGTTAGCGATGGCATTTAATCTGCCGGCCAATGCAGATAAAGCAGCTAATCACTGGCAGTTAACTCCTCTTTAATCTGCTTCCCATCGTATTATCTCCAGCTTTGGGCCTGGAATCACGGCCTTTGTGAAGAGCCTTAAATACTTGAGAGTTGGATTGTCCTTGACATTCGTCTGTATAGACTGTTATGGTGTGAGAGCTGAGAAAGGTATTGTTCAAAGGAGAAAGGCTTGAGAAAGTTCAGTTTTGAGATGTTGTATTTTTGTTAAACAGCTAAAAAGCATGAAAATACATTTGGGTTGTCAAATGATCTTGTCATCAGACTTCCGGAACTGAGGTAAACATCAAGTCAATGTTAAATTGTGTGGGAACAAATCACATTTAGCCACACAACAAATTAAAATTACAAATTTCACAGACTTTACAGATTTAGTAGAAATTTAAGTGTACAGAAGATGCGTATTCATCTGCATGTTTTTAACATCTGATTTAGATTTACAGAAAAGTCATGAAGGCTCATTGTGTTAATGGGTCTGTATTTTAATTGGACATCCATGGAAAACTATATAAAAGTTGAAATACACTATAAAAATGCTGGGTTCTACACAACCAATTTGTGTTGGGACAACATGAAGGAATTAAGTTAACTTATATGTAGGCCCACAATCTGTGCGCGTAGAATTCCGCAGGTTTTTAGCCCATCCTTGAGTCTATTTAATTACTTGTGTAAATGTATATTTATTAATTTATATATATATATATATATACATTTCAGGAATAGTATTGACTAATTTAAATTTATTTGACTTTTTTCTATCTTTTAGCAGATATATTATATTAGAGACTGGCTTTGTTTACCAAATAAAGTGGACCTAATTGGATTTGCATTGTGAACATTAAATAAAAGTTAAAAAGGCATTTTATTCATTTCATATATTAAGTTTTTAGTTATGATATTCCTAAAATAAATCCGCAAATTTTTTACAAAATTCTCAGAAGAAATAGCAAAAATGCCCGCAGATTCTGTATGGCCTTAACATAATTTTATAAGTTTATTTTTACCAATTTAGGTAGAATAAACATAAAACAATTAAATTGTCTCAAAGAACCTTCAAGGTTTGTGCAGGTTTAGCTCATTTTATATACTTATTTGAACAAACAGCAAACATCGTTTTTTGAAGGTAGTTAATTGAATGTTGATTGAATTAATTTCAATTGAGTTAAATTAAATCAATGACTAATTAAGCTCTCCAATAAATAAATAAATAAAACACAGTAGCCCAAAAAGATTAAATTTCTGAAATTAACTAGGAGAAAACTTAATGAGTGTTTGTCTGAATCCTTAATTAAGGGGTTTTATGTCTGTGACTTCACTAAAAATAATGATTTATTGGATTAC